TTCATGCAACACTTGTTCAAAATGTATTAAATTCAATTGATTTTTGTCGAGCCTGCGACTTTTGTCGCAGAAAGCTCGACATAGGGATAGCGATCCGGCGGCGGCGGCGGCGGCGGCTACGGCGGCGGCGGCGGCGTTAGCTAACTTCTTAAAAGCTTTATATTTTAGAAGGTGGAAGGTCTGGATGCTTCATACTGTGTATATGGATGCCTCATGTTACGAAGTTTCCGTCAGTCACATGTCCAATGTCCTTGACCTCATTTTCATGGTTCAGTGACTACTTGAAAAAAAAGTTCAGATTTTTTGTAATGTTAGATTCTCTCTTATTATAAGTAATAAGATAACTATATTTGGTATGTGCGTACCTTGCAAGGTCCTCATGCCCGTCAGACAGTTTTCACTTGACCTCGACCTCATTTCATGGATCAGTGAACAAGGTTAAGTTTTGGTGGTCAAGTCCATATCTCAGATACTATAAGCAATAGGTCTAGTATATTCGGTGTATGGAAGGACTGTAAGGTGTACATGTCCAACTGGCAGGTGTCATCTGACCTTGACCTCATTTTCATGGTTCAGTGGTTATAGTTAAGTTTTTGTGTTTTGGTCTGTTTTTCTTATACTGTATGCCATAGGTCTACTATATTTGGTGTATGGAATGATTGTAAGGTGTACATGTCTAGCGGGCAGGTGTCATCTGACCTTGACCTTATTTTCATGGTTCAGTGGTCAAAGTTAAGTTTTTGAGTTTTGGTCTTTTTTTCTAATACTATGTGCAATAGTTCAACTATATTTAGTATGTGCGTACCTTGCAAGGTCCTCATGCCCGTCAGACAGTTTTCACTTGACCTCGACCTCATTTCATGGATCAATGAACAAGGTTAAGTTTTGGTGGTCAAGTCCATATCTCAGATACTATAAGCAATAGGTCTAGTATATTTGGTGTATGGAAGGACTGTAAGGTGTACATGTCCAACTGGCAGGTGTCATCTGACCTTGACCTCATTTTCATGGTTCAGTGGTTATAGTTAAGTTTTTGTGTTTTGGTCTGTTTTTCTTATACTATATGCAATAGTTCAACTATATTTGGTGTATGGAAATATTTTATGATCTATTTGGCAGTCACGCAGGTTTTATTTGACCTTGACCTCATTTTCAAGGTTCATTGCTCAGTGTTAAGTTTTTGTGTTTTGGTCTGTTTTTCTTAAACTATAAGCAATAGGTCAACTCTATTTGTTGTATGGAAGAATTGTTAGCTGTACATGCCTGCCTAGCATGGTTCATCTGACCTTGACCTCATTTTCATGGTTCATTGGTCAATGTTTAGTTTACTTGGTTAATGTTAAGTTTATGTGACAGTTGTAATAAAGCTTTATATTTAGGACTATCAACATAATATCAATGATTAGTAAAGAAGGCGAGACATTTCAGCGTGTGCACTCTTGTTTTTTTTTGCAGTAAGGTTTTGTGTAGAATTAATTTGAAAAAAAAGGTATGGATTTTTTATCTTTGAATGAAATAACAAAATTAAATATATATACTTCAATAGTGTTTTAAAAAAGAAGTGAGAAATTCGATTTTCCTACCAAAATAATAAGAAAATGATTACTTGACACTGTAATACAGGAATTGAATTACATCACTTTTAGGGCAAATGCAAAATATTTCTGCACAAGTTTAAAAAAAAATATAATGAAGCCACAAACATTTTGGAGGGACAAAGGAAGGTGGCATTATCTGCAGTGTTATGGTAGTGTGATGAATATACCTGCCTACATCCACATAATTTGAGCTTAGGTGGATAGTTGTCTATTTGGTTATTTTTATACTGTAAAGACATTGCTTACAGAAACTGTTAAATGCAACAGAGAAATTGCATTAATTTCAAATATATTAATAGCATATTTACATTTATTTAGAAGAAAATGTAGATTGTTTATTTAAATTATTCTTAAATGAAAAATGATTGTAAAGAATCCACATCTCCACAGCAGGAAAGAATGAGAAACATAATAAAGTTGAGATATCTCTATAGATAATATATGATTTATAATGATGTAACTGCTGAGGACACAGACATTGTACCTATGTAGTATTCCTTTGATGTTTGCCAATTGAAAAAAGTACACAATATAAATAGTCTTTTTATGTTGGTCTTTAATGACCTGAATAGCAGTACATCATAGTGGGGATGTATGAAACTATTATCCAGCTAAACCAGAACTTCAAAAACTTTAAAAGTTCAATTTTTATTGACAGTTATCATAAATGAAGATGTAAAACCCCCTTAATGAGTTTGATACTGATTATAATTCCTATTTACTCCACATAAACTGAGGATTTACATTCTCAAATTGCTCAGTGCTTAATGTTAAGAGTATATGCCATAAGAACATTAAAAAAAGGAATTACAGTTTAATGTTTTCGTGAAAATTGCAATTTAAGATACATTTTCACTAAGAAAACAAAGAATCTGTTCAATTGAGTTTCTTGCAACTCAGAATACAGTTGTCCATTTGATTGTTAACATCTACAATAAAAGTGATTGAATGAAAATGATCCCTTCTGATTGACATTTTATTTTCATTTAAGAGCAGAAAAGCAATCTCCTGAATTCTTTTGAAGAATTTTTTTCTGTTTTTATTTCACTGGACTGATATTATAGGGCCTATCTTAACCTGCGTCACTGAAGGTGAAAGTAGGTCTAGTAATCACTCACTGGAGTCTGTTTGTTGATCTGCCTTGGGTAGAAGGTCGGTGGTTCCCTCTGGCACACCAGCTTCCTGCACCAATAAAAACTGACCGTCACCTAATAGCCAATAGTGCTGAAAGTGGCGTAAAATACCTAAAAACCAAACAAAGCTGAAAAAGCAAGCTCAGAAATATATTTTATACCTCTGTAAAGATCTGTCAGCTAAAACAACAACAAAAATTGACCAACTATTATGTAAACAATACAAATACTGGTCTTTGTTGATCTAAGTATCATGTTGTTAGTCCTTGAAACTTAAATGAATTATTGCTCATGGTTAGTCATATGACCTTTAGCTAGCATTATAGTAATGTAAAATTATTTCTAGTGCCTTCTCCAAAAAAGTCATAAGAAAATGTGTCAAGGCTTAAGTTTGTGTAAAAATTGCAACGATCTTGAATACTCTTCTTATGTATGGACAAATTAATACAAGTCTGTTCAGTGATAGTTATTATGCTGTATGCACTGACTGTACTGTATGAAAAACATTGATCACTCTTTCACAAAGATTTTTATGGAAGATTATAAATTTTCAAGGTTTCTTTAATATGTTTGGTTTTATCTAGATTTAAACAAACAGTGGCTGTTAAATTGAAAAACAGCTATTTTAAACTGATGAAAGAAATATATTCCTATAACCTACCAGAAGATTAACTGTAGGAGAAGTTGAGTGCATATCTTTTTCCTCTTTTTGTATGGTGAATTAAATAGTTTAAGAAAGAAATTTTATAGACATCATATATAACTATTTGTTTGGTAAATAATGTTGTTGATTAAAGTTTGTTATAGTGCAGCAGGTGGGATGAATTTCCAAAGAAAAGTTTACAGGCCAGAATTAGCAAAAGGGAGGGGTTATCATAAAATTATTAATTCTTATCAAGTGCTGATGACATAATCGGGAAAGATGTTGATTTAACTGTACGATTTGAAAAAAGAATCAGCTTGATTTTATTGCAATATTGCTCTCATATTATTTTTCTAGTTGCCACTCTCATACATTAAAGGGAGATCATAAAGAACAGCTTGTGTGTTTTCAGTCTAATTTTGAACTGCTCCGATAGGCAAACATTCAGATTTTATTAGTCAAAACATATACCTGTACAGACTTTTGTGTACTGATTTTGTATCATGGATGGACACCCCATATATTTCTTTTCTATTGCATCTAATTTTTAATCAATTCAGAAATATAAAAATAAATTATTTGATTTGATAGTTCAAATTTCTTACTGTTCTTTTTTTTTTATATATAAAGACGATTCATTGGTCAAAGGAACTTGATTTGAACTTTCTTTCTACTGATCTTTTTTCCTTTTGTGTTATAAGAGAATTTAATAAGATGAATTATCAGTCTAATTTATAACATATCCTCTTACTTGTGTTGCTTCAATTATAATTGTTCATTTAAACAGTTAATATAAAAACTGAAATCAATATCATCACACACATCTACCTCAATAAAGCAAATAAGACAGGTGTTATTTCAAACTTAGTAAACAAAGAAATTGACAATTATGCAATTGAAATTGACAACATTTGTTTGAAGACTGTCTACATTCATGGCAAATTGTGAGATAGTTAACAAACATGAAGAGATTCATTGACAAGGAAAACAAAAGAAAAAATATTAGCTCTTAATTTACTGTACTCAAACTGTTGTAATACAAGTTTGTTTGATTGTTTTTCAGGTAAATGATAGCAATAGCCTTCTTTGAAAGTACATAATTTATACCACATTTTTTCTTACTGGATCCCCAAGAATCACCAAGACTGAAGCCACTACCTGATTAACCATTTTTTTTGCAGTTGATCAAAAATGAAGTTTTACCAAGATCACTTTTTCAATATTTCTCATTCTGGAAAGTCTTTCCATTAATTAAGAATGAACCATTGATTTGCATTATATTTATATATTTATTTTTTTACTTATATTTGTTATTACCCAATGTCAATGACAATTTTTATTTTAATTCAGAAACTTTTGCTATGTTTTAAATATTTTAGGACATGGGGAAGAATTGTAATGTCACATTAATTAGAACATGCAATTCTTATAGCATGAATTGAATGCAACATTTGCAATAATCAATGCACCCAATAATTTCAGAAGCTCAGTTATTCTTTTTCTTGCTTATTTTCTATTTATAGATTATTTAAAATTTGAATAAAATTGTTTGGATAACCATCAAAAGAAAGTGATGGTAAAATTGTTAATTTGATGGGTGAATGACCAATTGCTTTATGATTTCAGGAAGTTGTTCTTCATCGGTCATCGAACAGTGAGAAACTGGGACTGACACTCTGTTATGGTTCTTTAGAAGATGAAGTTACGGATATATTTATAAGTGAGGTAAATATACTTATGAGTGGAATCTTCACGTGTCATTGTTATTGACATAGAGATATATCCTACAGAATTATTCGTTTATATTTGCTTTTGTTTGAATAATGTTCATTCAAAGGCAACTGACATATGAAATATGATGATAGGAGTATGGAAAATTATCTAAGTTAAGGACCATCTTAACATGTTACTATATGGCCCATGTCATTGGTCAAGTGTTTCAATTTATTGGGAAGAAAAACAGATGTGGGGTCAAGTGGATTTTATAAAAATCAATTGAGAGATTAATTGAACAGTCTGCTGGCGGAAGTTATGATAAGACCTGATGGGACCTTACTGATGTCATACAAAGAAGGATCAATCTCCTGTCAAACAGTCACTCTCATTGTTTTAAGCCAGTCACTTATTAATACTGATAAATTACTCAGGCTACCCAATCTCTGACTTGAAAGGGCTATGTGGACGGTATCAAGTTGATATTGACCTTCGAAGAGGACATAATTTTAACAATGAAATGTTTGGGTTCCACTGGTTTCTTGATTTTGTGTTTAACTGGAAGAGGATCCAGTTGCACCCAGCAGGCTTGTTATTGTGTTGACAATGAAGAGAAGGTGGTTCGATCAATGATTATTGTATTACAGGGGACTCTATAAAATTAATAGGTTACATTATAAGATACATAATGTCCTTAAATGTTTTAACAAGGCACATCATGTATATTTTTTTCCAGATATCAAAAACCATTAGGGCTATCATTTTGGTGCCAGAGCTCAGAAATATCTTTGTTTTTCAAAGCTGTAATTAATCTCTATGTATGATGACTTTTAAAAAAAACATTTCTACATTTATTACAAAACTGTTTCTGTTTTCTGATTTCTTATTTTATTGCAATGAGTAGTATTCAGCCTAAATTTTCTTTTTGATTCTGTCCTCTGCCTTTTTAAGTAGGATCTTCCTTGACTTGTCATGGAAGTCTTCAACATGCCAACATTTATAATGGTTTAGTACTTTTCTGATAATGAATGTCCTAGTTATCATCAAAGGGATAAAGTTATTTTAAAAAATGTGGTTTATGAAAAAACTGTACATTTCAAATATTTCTTGTCCAAGAGGCCTGTGATAGAACCATTTCCACTGTGGGGGTTAATGTATTTGTTAAGATCACATTTGTTTTATCACAGATAAAGAGGTTTTTAGTTTCCAGATCTTTCTGTTTAATTTCTTGTTTTGACATAAAAAAAAAGTATAAATACTACAATATTTCATCAAACCACATTATAAAGTTGAGAATTTGTAAATAAAGTCAGGTTTAAATTGGACATACAGATAGGTTTTTACTTGAAATTTAGTCCTTAAATGACTGGGTATGTTTACCTTTGATTTTACTGTAGTCATTCACTGATGAGACACAGAAAAGTAATTTCAAGATATTGGAAAGTTTTTTTAAAGGCAAAAAAAAAATACATATGAATGGGCAAGTGAATTTTAACATCCCCTCTCTAGAGTAAGAACATTATTGAAGGATAATAGATTGAATTGAAGTTTTTTTATTTTCTTGCATGTTTTTAATTTTTTTTACATGAAAAGAAGTGGATTTGGACATCAACTTCCTCCTCATGTATTAACATAAGTCTGCAACTGTCATCTGTTTATCATTTGTCATGTCTCTTACTGGAAACATATGTCTGAAAGTCCTGCTAAGCATGCCTGAAACAAATTAAAACAACATTGAAATCCATAGGTATGACTATATAACCAGAGCTGCCACAAGTCGATCAGACTTGTCAAAATGATGTCAAATAGTCCTGACAGAAAATATTTCTGACAAATACAGTGGCATTTGAGCCACTATAAGTGTTGTCAGCACTTAGATGCTACTTTAACTCTCTTTAACTAGTCACATTAAGTAGGAGGGCCTTAAAATGGACACCGCTGACATGTGATGTATAAATCATCTGGATCATAAATTACACAGGCCATAGACCACACAAAGGGACAGCAGCTTGGTCATTTAATTAAATCATGTTTTACTGAAAGATATATCCAGCACATAATTTGATAGATTTGCAAGAGTTACTTAGGCTTCATGTAAATGATATAAACAAGTCAAGTAATGATCATATAGTCTGCAAAGTATTTCTGTTCAGAATTACAGCATATACTAAGTTTTTTTTGTGTGCATTTTTAGCAATTAGATTTTATCATGAGCAAATGCAATGAATTGTTAAGTTTTGATTTTTTAAATCCTGTTTTTTAAAGGTGAAACTGTCTGATTCATGTCACCGTTATCTATTTTCCTTTTTAAGTTAAGCTGGAGAATTTTTTTTCAGCATGTGCCGTTTTTAATATTGAAATAGAATTGACCACTTGCAGGAAGTTTGGTCAGAATGATAATTGTTTACCACACCCTTTTACAGGCTATCATTATGGCAAATACAATAGGATCTGTGTTCCCGATTGCATTGAAAACAAATGTTTTTTGCTATCATGTACAGCAGATTTTTGTCTGCTGTTTTGATTGCCATTGTAATACAATGGAATTGGCAATTGTGTACAGCAGATTTTGATCTGTGCTACCTATTGCATCTGCTGTACCAATAGCTGGTTTTAGGGTGTGTTTATGGTGTCATGAATCTGCCTTCCTTCCTCCCTTATTAGTATGCAAATTAATTTGATAGTATCTGTGAATGTATTACAAGCAATAAAAAGCAGTCATCAATAAATGTATGCAATGAACAGATATAAATTCAATAAGATAACTAAATCAAACATGCAATGTCAACCATACCAAATTTATTGAACAGTTGATATGCTGAATATGAATTTGTTGTGAATTGTAGTTATTTGTTTATATAAAAGGATTCATCAAACTGCAGATCTTCTTTGAAAAATTATAATCTCAGTTTAGAAAACCTAATAGTTTAATATTAAACCATATAAGGAAAGTTGAATATATATATATATACTGTAAATTCCGAAATTATTGCGATGTTTTTATTATTGCGAAAAATGCGACAGGGTTGTCATCGCAATAATTAAAACTCGCATTTTGAATTTTTTTATATGAATCAAACAGAATTTTTCTGAATATCGCAAAAATTAAAATCGCATTTTAGTCTAAAATGACAAAATCACAATAATAAATGCACGCAATAATTTCTGAAAGGGCCCCATGTGAGCTTATGCCATCACTTGGCGTCTGTCGTCAATGTCGTCGTAAACTATTTAAAAAATCTTCTCCTCTGAAACTACTGGGCCAAATACCTTCAAACTTCAAGTAAATGTTCCTTAGGGTATCTAGTTTATAATTTGTATCCGAAGTTTTGATCCATCGACAAACATGGCCTCCATGGCTAAAAATAGAACATAGGGGTCAAATGCAGTTTTTGGCTTATATCTCAAAAACTAAAGCTTTTAGAGCAAATCTGACATGGGGTAAAATCGTTTGATTGGTCAAGATCTATCAGCTCTGAAATTTTCAGACGAATCGAACAACCCATTGTTGGGTTGCTGCCACCAAATTGGTAGTTTTAACAAAATTTTGCATGTTTTTTGTTATTATTTTGAATATTATTATAGATATATATAAACTGTAAGCAATAATGTTCAGCAAAGTAAGATCTACAAAAAAGTTAATATGACAATAATTGTCAATTGACCCCTTAAGGAGTTATTACCCTTTAAAGACAATTTTACACAATTTGTTCATCAATTTTTCTAACATTTAAAAATCTTCTCCTCTGAAACTACTGGGCCAATTACCTTCAAACTTTAACTAAATGTTCCTTAGGGTATCTTGTTTATAAATTGTATCCGAAGTTTGTATCCATCGACAAACAAGGCTGCCATGGCTAAAAATAGAACATAAGGGTCAAATGCAGTTTTTGGCTTATATCTCAAAAACTAAATCTTTTAGAGCAAATGTGACATGGGGTAAAATTGTTTAATTGGTCAAGATCTATCGGCCCTGAAATTATCAGACCAATCGAACAACCCATTGTTGGGTTGCTGCCACCGAATTGGTAGTTTTAACAAAATTTTGCAGTTTTTTGTTATTATTTTGAATATTATTATAGATATATATAAACTGTAAGCAGCAATAATGTTCAGCAAAGTAAGATCTACAAAAAAGTTAATATGACAATAATTGTCAATTGACCCCTTAAGGAGTTATTGCCCTTTAAAGACAATTTTACACAATTTGTTCATCAATTTTTCTAACATTTAAAAATCTTCTCCTGTGAAACTACTGGGCCAATTACCTTCAAACTTTAACTAAATGTTCCTTAGGGTATCTTGTTTATAAATTGTATCCGAAGTTTGTATCCATCGACAAACATGGCTGCCATGGCTCAAAATAGAACATAAGGGTCAAATGCAGTTTTTGGCTTATATCTCAAAAACTAAATCTTTTAGAGCAAATGTGACATGGGGTAAAATTGTTTAATTGGTCAAAATCTATCGGCCCTGAAATTATCAGACGAATCGAACAACCCATTGTAGGGTTGCTGCCACCGAATTGGTAGTTTTAACAAAATTTTGCAGTTTTTTGTTATTATTTTGAATATTATTATAGATATATATAAACTGTAAGCAGCAATAATGTTCAGCAAAGTAAGATCTACAAAAAAGTTAATATGACAATAATTGTCAATTGACCCCTTAAGGAGTTATTGCCCTTTAAAGACAATTTTACACAATTTGTTCATCAATTTTTCTAACATTTAAAAATCTTCTCCTCTGAAACTACTGGGCCAATTACCTTCAAACTTTAACTAAATGTTCCTTAGGGTATCTTGTTTATAAATTGTATCCGAAGTTTGTATCCATCGACAAACATGGCTGCCATGACTCAAAATAGAACATAAGGGTCAAATGCAGTTTTTGGCTTATATCTCAAAAACTAAATCTTTTAGAGCAAATGTGACATGGGATAAAATTGTTTAATTGGTCAAGATCTATCGGCCCTGAAATTATCAGACGAATCGAACAACCCATTGTTGGGT